CCTCAAAGACATGTCAAACTCAAGCAACACTCATTTTGCCTCCTGGTTGATTCCCAGTTATTTCAGCCTCTCCTGGATAATAAGGGAGATCAAACAAATCAAGATGATTAGTCAATTCCTTATTCATTCCATTTCTGTACTAGAAATCATAATAAGGTTGTGAGTACTCTAGTTAAGAGTATTATTGCAACAAGTTAGCTTGCAAATGGAAATTTAGTAGGTCTTCTAAAATCATGCAAAAAGATTTTGCAAAACATTTCTTTGCAAAAAGTATTTAATTTTCTTACAAAAAACTTACAATGTATCCTGTTGTTAAAAATAATAATCACTAAACTTTTGTGAAGTAAATTAGCTAGAGACTTCAAAGACTAGAATTTATTAAAACCAATTTGGTGTAAAATGTCTTTTAAGTATCACAAATCCATAAAACCAAAATTCTCAATAATCACAAATTCCTAAGTACCAAAATGTGTTTACCTTGGGGAGGAAGTTCAGGTTTTTTTTTTCCCTAAGGCAAGGACATGTCCAATTGAACTAGCCTTATCCCAATAACAAAGTGTACCAGGCCTTTAAAATTTTACTCAATAGGAATTCCACTACACATCAGACTTTTCACTGGGTTGATAAGAATTTATGACTAGATGGTTGCAAAAATCCTTATCTTAGTTAACAATCTCAAAAACTGACGGTGCAATTCTTAATCTAACAACCAGATTATAAGAGAAATTGCATTTCTAACAACACAGGTGATTGTTAACCAAATTATACACTATATGAAAATTTAGAAATATAACCATACCACTAGCAATTATCATGTATTTAAAACTTGAAACAGAACAGATTAATTACCAGTCAGGTGACCTTAATTTAGTTGGATGAGCAAATCAAATGTGGATTCATAATCACTAGTGATAACATTTTTATTTCTAAGGCCCAATATTCTTAGCACTTTAAAAGAAAAGATTATTATCCATAAATTCACTTTTTTTTTCTTTGAAGATATGTAGTAACAATTCCCAGCTCCAAGTAACCTTTTACTTCCTTGAGCTGGAGTTCCTTGTCCCTTTTATCTTTGAGACTTATCAGATCCCTAAGCATTTCAGTTCTCCATTCCCATCCTCTTGTGAATTTTGAGCTGCATGTACTAGAAAATGCATATAAGATTTTAAGTTAACAACACAGGGCACAGAGACCTCAAAATCAAGGCACAAGGACCCCAAAAGAAAACCAGGTTCAAAAGCCCACCTATCCACCTCCCTCAATGTCCCACAGGAGAGGGGAAGGAACAAGACAAGGTAAAGCAGGGTGCAGGGGGAATAAAAGTCCGTTTAAGCAGAGAAAGATGACTTTTCTTTAAGTTTTTGAGACCAAATTTCTTACTAAGCTTGTCTTGTTTAGAAGTCCCCATCACAAATCACTTTTCTAGATTATATTGAGGTCAGGCTGTGTTACAATGGAACACTAGGCACTTTTCCTTAAGAACTCCTTCCCTGAATTTCCCATCCTAGCAGTCTCCTAACAGCCTCTCTTCACTCCATATTAGCATCCCAAGACAGAGGAGAAAAAAATGTGACTGACCCAGAGCAAGAGCATCCACTTATATGAGGGTCCACAGTCCAAGTGACTGCCCACAAGTCAGTGGATCTTCAGACACCACTGGCAGTATCTGGGCATTCCAGGGGTCTTGGAGCCAGGGACACAGTAGGAGAAGAAAAGTGCTGGGAAGAAAACAAAGAAAAGGGTGCTTACCTAGGAGAAGATCAGTGGAGTCTAATTAATATTTGCACTCCCAGGTTTGTCACCATGAATATTGAGGTCAGATTTGAGAGAGCAGTTTGGGTGTGAAAGGATTCAATTAAATGACTTTCTCTTAACCCAGGGGAGCTTTATTGAATGAAAGCAGAGGGCCAGCCCTGGAAAAAGGACTAGTAATTTACAGAGGGAGTGGGGCTTGTTTTTATACAAAATTTTTGAGCACTTAGCCAAGAGCTCCTATTTGAATAGTTAATCACAGGGAAAAAGGTATCAGGAAGGGGATGCAAGTATGCTGGGTAGAATTCAAGGATGTGATCACAAAACAAGGAATTAACCTTCCAACATTTGGTCCAGTATGGAGGGCTAATCACATGCACAGAGTATGGGCTAAGGAAGCAAGGTTTTTGTTATTTGACTGAGCTTTCTGTTACTGCACAGATTTAGATGAGGCCCTCATAGTTGCTGGGAAAAGTTAGCCTCAAAGGTTCTCACTGTTGTTGGGCAAAAGTCACCCTCATCAATTAGGAATCACACAATTATCCACAAGACAAATTCAGAGTCATGAAAAAAAATCACCTCTAAATCATTCCATTTACTTACTGAGGCAATCCATTCTAATTTTGATAGCTCTAATTCTTAGGAAGGTTGTTTGTATATTTGTTTGTTTTATCCTGACAGCAAGAGTAGATGCCTCTTTTTTCTTCCCTCTAGAAGCAAACAGAAGAAGTATAATTCACTCAAATGAAATTCATTCCAATATTTGAAGATACCTATTATGTCCTTTCAGTTCCACCCCAAGTTAAGCATCTCCAGTTCCCATGCAAATTCTTATATGGCATGGACTCAAGCTCCTTTTACATATAGATTATTCTTCTCTGAATGCACTCCAATTTATTGATGTTCTCTCTACAATTTTTAAAGATGAACACTGTACTTTGGATATGGCCTGGTCATGGCAGAGTACAGTACAACTAGCACCAACTTGTTCCTGGAATCCATGATTATTTTAACACAGCCTAAGATGCATTAGCTATTCTCCTGCTACTCAGTTCCAGGACTTCTCTGGTTAGAGATAAATAATTAATCATCCTTAGTAAGTGACTAATTGCAGGATTAATTTGTCCCAGAGTACATCCACACTTCCTTATTATAGCTTCTGTCATTCCCAAGCATTTTACATCAAAAATAGGGGTGTTAAAGCATATATATTGTGATAGTAGTCATATTGCATTGAATCTTGGATGCTCATATTGTCTCTCCTCAGCAGGTCAATTCTGAATAGAAAAGGAAGTCCTATTAATAGTAGTAAAATAGGTATGAAAAGTAGTTAATTCCTCCATTCATTGAATGGAGTAGGATTTGATGCAGCATATTTCATACCTTTTTGGTTGTTTATATTAAGTTGGAAGTTGAGGACTGCTGCTGCTTCTGACAACCACAAGTCTTTAAGAAAGATTATTATTATTTTTAAAACCTACTTGCTCCTCAAAAAGGGGTCAAGGAAAAGCAGGCAGCATTCAAGTGGAAGATGATTTGGAAGTTTAAAAAAAGTCCTGAATCTTGCATTGAGAATAAACAATAGAAACAAGTGTATATCTAGGAAAATTGTGGGCAGAGGTGGCAAGGCAAAACACAGCGTATCCATAAAATATCAAGATGAGACTGAGATTTCAGGACAAAATTATTATATTCCAATATATATTTTGGGAAGAAGCTTCAGTTTTTCTGATGGGCTTTAATATATCCTGTTAGAATCTGCTTTGACCTTTCCCTGAAGGGAGATAGGTCAGCCACCACCACCACCACCAAAAATGACTGACAAAATTCAAAGCTAAAAGTATATTGAATTATTTAGAATGAAAATAGAAATAGAGGAACAAAATTAAATTCACTCAAGCATTTCTTTAGTGCCATTTATATGTCAGGCATTGTTCTAGGTACTGCCAACATAAAGAAAAAAATAATAGAGCCCCTATCCTCAAGAAGAGATTCATTCTTCTAAAATAATTTAATATACATGGAGATCAATATATTGACATCATATGAGAAAAGAGAGAGCACTGGGTAGATGAGGGAAGGCTTTGCAGAAAGTTGGTGCCAGAACTAAATCTTTAAGGAAGATAAAGATTTGGAGAGTATAAATGAAGAGAAAACTATTCCAGATCCAAGGGAAGAGTTTATGCAAAGGACTGTACAGAGTTTAGAGAGGAAGTGCTAAGTTTAGGGACTAGATAGTATTCTAGTTTGGTTTAATCATAGAAGACATTGAAGGAAATAATATGAAAGGAAGCCAGAAAATACATTAGGGGAGGGATTTAAGAGGGCTTTAAACAATGAATGAATGAGTGAGTGAATTAATGAATGAATGCTGAAGATGATGAGAAATTTCTATTGTACACTAAAGGTAATAGGAAAGCACTAAAAGTCCTCAAAATTGGCTAAATCTGTTTTATATTCTCAATTATGAGTGAGTAAAATGTGTAATTTTATTCAACAAAGACCTCACACATTTGGAAAGCCAGTAATCATCTTCAAAATCAAGCACAGACAGCACATAGGCTGTTCTTTACCAAGTCTACCCTTTTGCTCATCATTATCATCATCTTTCTTTCTATCATCACAATCTTATTCATATTAACACATATAATATTTTAATGTTCACAAAATGATTCTCCTTTTTTTGAAAAACCATCTCCCCTTTTTTCCTCCAACCCAAATTAAGACTAATCTCCAAAATCTTTCCCCTGATTATCTCACTTAATAATAAAGACCTATATTACTATGGAGCTTTAAAATGAAAATTGATTTCATATATATTAATACATTTGATCCTCACAAAAATCCTGTGGGGAGGGAAGGTAACTAGGTAAGTTGTACTATCCAATTTTACTCATAAAGAAACTAAATAGCAGAGATTCTAAAGGACTTTCTCAAGTTCACGCAATAAATAAATGATAGGACCCAATGATGCCAAAATCATACTTTTTCCCACTGTAATACAATGCCTCTCCTCACACATCCTTATCTTCATATTGTTTCCCTACTACCCTATTGAGAGTCAGAATATCATAGTGCATAGAGGAATGGACATGGAGTTTGAGAGATTTGGGTTTGAAACCCACTTCAGATGCCATGGTCAAGTCATTTATACTTTCAGAAAATCTTTCCTCATTTGCAAAATGGGGATAATAACAAATATAGCCTTTACCTAACAGGGTTGGTTTAAAGACCAAAGAAGATAATGTGTGCTATCTTCAGCAGCACCTATACTAAAACTGGAATAATACAGAGATTAGCATGGCCTTTGTGCAAGGATGACATTCAGATTTGTGAAGCATTATCTACTTTTTAAAAGCAAAATAATTTTGAGGAAGGAGAGTGAAAGGAGAGGGAGAGAGAGACAGAAGGAAAAATAGATTGGAGGGGAAAACATTGTAATGATAACTGAATTTGAATGGAATGAACTAACCCATAATACAGAAGCAGATAGCAGAATGGATTAAAAATCAGAATCCTACAATATCATGTTTACAAGAAACAAACTTAAAACAGAGAGATACACACAGAATAAAAGTAAGAGGCTGCAATAGACTACTATGCTTTAGCTGAATTAAAAAAAATCAGGGCTAGCAATCATTACTTCAGATAAAACCAAACAAAAAACAGATCTAATTAAAATAGATAAGCAAGGTGTCTTACTAAAAGATAACAGATAATGAAGTTATATCAATACTGAACATATATGCAGCAAATAGCATATTATCAAAATTCTTAAAAGAAAAGTTAAATGAATTAAGAGAGGAAATAGGGAGTAAAACTATATGACAGGGGGACCTTAATTTTCCCCTCACACTAGTAGATAAATCTAACTGAAAAATAAACAAAAAAAAGTCAAGGAGATGAACAGAATATTGGAAATGTTACATATGGTAGACTTTTGGAAAAAAATTAAATAGGAATAGAAAGGAACATATCTTTTCTCAGTGGTACTTGGTACCTACACAAAAATAGGGCATAAAAACCTCCCCATTCAAATGCAGAAAGGCAGAAACAGTAAATGTATCCTTTTTTACATTACAATGTAACAGAAATTATATTCAATAAAGGGCCAGGGAAAGATAGATTAAAATTAATTAGAAATTAAATACTCTAATTCTATAGAATTAGTGAGTAAAGGACAAGTAATAGAAACAACCAATAATTTCAGTAAAGAGAAAGACAACAATGAGACAACATACCAGAATTTATGGGATGCAGCCAAAGCAGTGCTTAAGGGAAGAATTATGTCTCTAAAAGCTTACATCATTAAATTAGAGAAAGAACAGATCAATGAATTGAGCATGCAACTAAAAGCAAGTTTAAAATCCCCAATTAAACACCAAATTGAGAAATACTGAAAATCAAAGGAGAAATTAATAAAATTGAAAGTAAAAAAAATATTTAATTAATTAAAAACAACAACTGAGATGGTAATATAAAAATAGAAAAAATACTGATTAATTGGATTAAACAAGAAAATAATAATGATACTAGTATCAAACATTAAAGGGTGAATTTATCATTAAAGAAGATGAAATTAAAGCAAATAATAGAAGCTTTTTTTTGCCCAATTTCATGACAAGAAATCTGACAAATTAAGTGAGCTGGATGAATATTTACAAAAATATGTATCACCCAGATTAACAGAAGAGGAAATAAAATACTTAAATAACCCCATCTTAGAAAAGGAAATTGAACAAGCCATCCATGAGTTCTCTAAGGCAGGACTTCTTAAACTTTTTTCCACTGGTGAGCCCTTTTCACTCTAGAAATTTTTACACAACTTTGAGTATATAGGTATAAAAATAGTTATACAAAGTAAACATTTACAAACAATAAATCATAAATAAATTCATTTTTAAAACAATTCTTTGGTATACATATAATTCCACCATTCATTAAAAATAAATGCATGTGCTTGTTTATTTTTACATAAAGAATTAAATCTTGGAGGAATATTTGATATTACAGGATATAGAGCATCTTCAACATTTTTCAGAGTTGATCAATATTTTAATTTTATAATCATCAATGCTGAGAATGCAGTTTTGCATAAATACACAGTACAAAATGGAAGAAATATGTTTAGGGTCATTTCTGAAACTGTTGGAAATTTTGTCTTAATCCCAAGTCAAAATTCATTTCACAATTTTTTTTTTTAGAAAACTCAAGTTTTAAACCTGTGTCACTTGATAACTCAGCAAATTCTTCTTGAATTTTTAATGGCATACAACTAACATTTTTTATTTAAATTGAATATGATATATGAACCCAACTTAATTTTTAGAATAAAAATTTCAAGTGAAGTATTTCTGAAACTGTATTTCCGGGCACTTAAGATGATCAATTATAATGCTTAAAATTAAATATTTGGGAAGATTATTTTCAATTATTAAATCCTCTGTAGCTGTAAACATTTCTAAAGATCCATTTTCTACCCACATATGCTAACATTTTTTAGTAAAACTTTTAATTTTATCATTTAACATAAATGTTACAAATTTTTCTTTGGAGTGACATATTTAAATCATTGAGTTTTTTCAAGAATATCAGACAAATAACATATTTTTGAAAGGCATAAGTCATGAAAAAAATGCATTTCTGCTCAGTCAAAAATATAACAACTTCATCTTTCTATTCCAATAATCTCTTTAAATTTTGCCCTTTTAAGAGTCAACTTACCTCTGCATGTAGTAATATGCTATTGTAATCTGAATCTATGTCTTTCTAAAGGTTTGAAAACAAATGACTGTCAAGGCTGCGGCTTTTAAAAAAGTTATTGATTTTGATAGTGTTGTGTAGCACAACATCTAACTATGGTGATTTTTTTTGGCTACAAGTGCTTCCCAATTGATCATGCAGTAAGTAAAACCAATATGTTCATTGTCACCATCTTTAGCTTTTGCTACAAATCCAGTATTCTCACCTATCATTGCTCCAGTACTGTCTGTACAGACTCCAATGCAATTTTCCCACTATAAACCTTCATTTGTGAAAGTCATCAATTTTAAAAGATATGTATGTATATATGTGTATATACATATGCATACATATATACACATGCATGTATACATACATATATCTTCTACTCCTTTGTACATATATACACACATACATATATACCCACATACATACATTATATATACATGTGTGTATACATATATGTACACACACATATATATCTTCTACTCTTGTGTGCCCTTCCAAAAGGCAACAAAACAATAATTTCTCATGTATGCTTCCTTCATAAACATTTCTTACATAAAGCAACAACTGTGCCATGTTAAAAAATATCAGTAGTTTCATCTAATTAAATTGTTAACTTTGGACTGCCCATTAGCCTGGTAATAAGCCGCTGGTATTGATTATTACTATTTTCAGAAATTCTTTTTTGGAAACAGTATCATTCAATAAAGAAATTTTACAAATTTCATCCCCATACTTTTCCCCATGGACTACTTCTGACATTTTAATAGCAGCAGGTAACATGATATCTTCTCCTATCACATATGACTTTTTAGTTTCTGCAACTAAATAAGAAGTTTTATAAGTTGCAAGTAAATACTTCCCAATGACAGTAACACATTTCTCAAATCATTGTTCTTTATTTGAAGATTTTAAAAGTTGTTCAAAATATTCCTTTGATTTATTTTCAGTACGCTGTATGCTTGGTATTATGATGCCATTTCAATTTGGCTAGTTTCATGCTCTCCACAGTCAAAACTTCATCACAAATTAAACAAAGAGGTTTTTCAACACCATTGTCATTATTGGAAGTAAATCCATATCACAAAAATAATTCTGCATATTTTCTTTTTCTTGTTAATTTAGGTTTACTTCAACCTAGTAGCAAAGACTTTACCACATTGTCATCAGTATTTTTACCTCTTCTATCTAAAGTTAGCCACTTATCCATAACTTTAAAATATTTTATCCTAAAATATAAATAAATATTGTTAGCAATGTACCAAATAAATGCTAGCTTTAGTGTATGAAATTACAATTGTTTGTTCTTAATTTTAAAAAATGATGTTAACACACAATAAATGGTGATGGTGGAGAAATATTATTAAAGGGCTTTTATCTTTACTTGCTCCAATTAAACACTTATGTTTCTGTATAACAGCAATTTTTAAAATCAAACATTCTAACACAATACAATCCAAAGATATACTAAGTTAATACTTACATGCTAAGGAATGATGGTAAGAAAATATGAAAAGTCTTTATTTTCTGTAATGTATGTACAATAAAAGCACTGAAATTCATAACATACAATAGTCTTGAATCTGAGACAAGGTGTTTCTGGCAACATTTGTGGGCATTGTGTAGCTTGACAGAATGTACAATGCAAAGTGCATATGTTGTGTATTCAGAACCAAGGCTACAGTGAAGTTGCGTGATGCAACACAGGCAAGTGCTGCCAGAAACACCTCTGATTCATTACACATTTGATTTTGAATTAATTTTTGGTTGTTGCACATTCATAAACCTTTTACTGTTGCCAAATGTTTTGCAACTCCCACATTCAGTTATAGGAGTCTATATTGGATCATGACCCACAGTTTAAGAAGTGCTGCTCTAAGAAAGAAAAAAACAGATGGATTCACAAATAAATTCTACCAAATGTTTAAAGAACACTTAATTCAATACTCTATATTATCTATTTGTTACATTAGGCAAAGAAGCAATCCTACTAAATTCCTTTTATGACACAAATATGGTACTGATACTTAAACCAGGAAGAGCAAAAACAGAGAAATAAAAATAAACCAATTTCCATAATGAATAGATGCAAAAATTTTAAATAAAATACTAGCAAGGAGATTACAATAATATATCAAAAAGAGCATACCCTATGACAATGTGGGAATTATACCAGTAGTTCAAGGCCCAGGTCAATATTATCTTCCTACTTTCTACATGGTTAAAGCCAGTGGTGAAAATCCATAGATCTGCTACAGAAGTAGGCACTCTTACTAGCCTTGGTTTAAGAAAAAAAATCAGTATTTGAAAATTGTAAAAATAATAAGAATACCTGTTTAGTTTTATTTTAATGCACATTTGTACTTTCAACCTGAATATCCACGGTAATAAACCACTACTGAATATTGATCACTACCTTAAATTAAGATTTTCTTAGAAATTTCTGGGGTCACAAAATTTAACGAAGTTAAATCCAAATAACTGATGCTATTTTATAACTCATGTCTATATAACTGTATAAACATTTACACATTTATGTATTTCCATTTTTTCTAAGAATATCTTAATTTAAGGTAGTGATCAATATTTGATCACCTTTATGGT